TGATTGCTAGCGACACAGCTATGTTAGCATATTATAAACAGTGAAGCTGGAGGATGAACGCCAACTTTTTTCCACTCGATAAAAGTTAACGTGAGGGTTCCCGGTGGTTAGGGACAAATGCAATCGCATGGCATGGACCAAACTTCATTCAGGAGAACAACTGAGACAATCCATCCTCAACACGAGGTTAGTTATTAATATACTGCTGCATGGGCTGGGCTTTAGTTACATCGTAAGGTTTTAAAATCTGAGCTTTAAAATGATTAGCGGTAATAAAAACCGAGAGAGGCCGACAGTGATTACCGACTGTTTTTAGGGGCTTGTTGAGATGAAATATAACAAGAAACAAAGCATTAAAACATGTTAAAACACAACAGCCTTATTAAACGCAGAGTACTTTGGGCCTGGAATCAGGTTTCATCAGGTCATCACTTAAAGACCGGATTGGTTTAGGTAGCTATGGTATACTAGTTCTCACAAATGATTCTTAAGTTGTAGTTTTCTTGCATTTCAGTTTTTTCAGAATGTTAAACGAACCCAGAACTACAACAACTACAACTCTTTTCTTGTAAATGCCACATACTATTGTTCAATCGAGTCACTGTTAACACATAAACTTTATTATTATAGTGTCCTAGATATCACTTGAATACCTGATTTCACAACATTTATTACCTGTGGGCTCCTATCGCTAAGCAGTATCAACCATTTGCAACTCATCAAATTGAAAGTCACAGTTTGCTTTCCACCAAAACGATCTCTTCATACAGTTATGTCACCAAAAATACCATTACTGTTTTTTAGATTCTTGACATGACCAGGGCAAATGCCCAGTATGCTATCAGTCTTGACAACGCAAGTCTGGCTTCAGATGACTTACGAACCAAGTGAGTGTTGAGATTTTTGTGCAAAATGAAGGTAATCGCTTCACCAGCATGAGCAGATCTAGCATTCACTCCATCTCCATAGGTATGAGTATGAGTTGTCCATGAGGCAGACAGTGGAGGCTGATGTTTCAAGACTGAGGAAGATCCTGGATGACACCAATGTTACTCGCTTGCACCTGGAGAGTGAAATCGAGTCCCTCCAGGAGGAGTTGATCAGCCTGAAGAAGAACCACGAGAGAGTATGCAATCATTATAAAGTTCAGCAGAGCAGTTCAAAGAGAAAAACCTATCTGATAACCCCAATACAGTACAGTGCACCTTTAAAACAAATTTTTCCTTAACCACTTAGCACAGGAAAATCCTAATAACCAAATGTTCAGGAAATCACTCCCTGACTATTTCCTCCCGAACAGGAAGTTGATGAATTGCGAGTTCAAATTGCACAGGCTGGGGTCCATGTGGATGTTGATGCACCAAAAGGACAGGACCTGGCCAGAATCATGGAGGAAATAAGAGCAAAGTATGAGAAGATAGCGCTACAGAACCAGCAGGAGCTTGAAGCGTGGCATAACTCCCAGGTACAGCTAAACTAGGCTGGTGAAAAACATCTTCTTTTTTTTTTTACTTGACTGTGAGTTGAACAGTATTTGTAAATTCTTTGTGTATATAATCTTCTATTAAGATAACAGAGGTGGAGGTCAAAGTCACAGAGAGCTCAACAGCCCTGAAGGAGGCCGCAGGTGTAATGACTGAAACTAGGAGGCGGCATCAGGCACTGGAAATTGAGCTCCAGTCTGCACATAGTCTGGTAAGTCTTGGTTACGTCACTAGTTTCCAGTTCTGGGTTGAGATTTGACCCTTCCCTTACTATAAATACTCATCATTAGGTCTTCTCATAGATTGAGCCTGGTTCACACCTGGCAATTCCAGAGTATGACAGGCATTACAGCCAAGAAAAAAAATTAAGTTGATCCTAGCTCTGTTCAAAAACAATAAATTTCACCAATCAGCACATCAAAAATTCACTAATTGCATTTTTTCACAGGTTGTCAGAAGTGCTGGTACATAATTTTATATGCAAGTCTTTATTTCTAGGCTAAACCATGAAGCTAACTCTAGCTTTGTGTTCCTGTTTAACACATATCAATTGCCCAGACTAACCTAATGCAAGATAGCCACAAAATGTTTACAATGGTGCTTTTCCTTAATCTCTTCACAGAAAGCGTCCCTGGAGGCTGCCCTTCATGACATTGAGAGGCGTTACAATTTAGAGCTGGAAAAATACAATGAGATAATCCTGAGTCTGCAGGAGGAACTGGCACACATCCGCAGCAGCATCCAGCAAAACACGAATGAGTACGAGGCCCTCCTCAACATCAAGGTGAAGCTGGAGGCTGAGATTGCAGAGTACAGAAGGCTGCTGGATGGTGAAGGAGACTTAAAGTGAGTATTAAGGTGAAGCAGCAGAAAGTATGGATGCAACATACGCTCACTGAGACAGAAGCCTTCTTCATCTCGGGGGTGCATTTGCAAATTTGATTTAAAGCAGCCTCATGCAAACATGGAGCAGCAATGATATGGAAAGCAGATGCCACTGACCTGTGTCTATGTAATCCTATTACCATCATTTAAATTTCCACTGCTCAATTTCATCATGTCAAAGAAAAGATCACTCAAAGGTGGAAAATATATTTCTGTTCTGTCTCCGTATGACTAACCTTTTTATATTTCTTCATTTTACCAGCCTTGAAGATGCAGTTGACCTAAAGAAAATCCAAGTGGTGACGGTCACTCAGACTGTGGTGGACGGCAAAGTGGTGTCAGAGAGCAAGGAGAGCAAGGAGATCGGATCCACTGAAAATCTGGCATTTAGTTAAAAAACAACTGAAAGAAAAACAACTATGAAAAAAATAAAATGGCAACATTTTATTTTGATTGCTTTCTGTCAATGTCTTCAGCTTTTCTTTTAAGGGCAAAATAAGCATATCAACCATTGTTTTGACTGATATTCATAGAAACCCATTGATTGAACTGATAAGACTTATGTATTATTTCATTATTCTATTAGATTATTAGTTCAGAGGAGCCAGTGTAGCTCAGCGGGTGGGCAGATGACAGTATGCCACATGGCTGGAGTACAGCAGCCTAGCTTTTTGTTGCATGTTTGCTGCTTGCTTGTCTTTACTGCTCCATTGTCAAATAAAGGCAAAAATGCCCCAAAATAATCTTTAAAAAACAAATTAATAGTTCAACAGTTTAGAGAATATGTCTACTGCTTCTTTGTCAAGAGATATAATGCCTTTATCCATGTGTTAAAGGAAGCTATAACAAACTTTCAGCTTAGGTTAGCATAAAAAAAACAGCCTGACTAAGCACCAGCACCTTCATATTTCACTAGGTTGACATGTTAAATCATTTACACATACATTAAACCAAAACTTTCGACTCAAATTTCAGATTAACAGGAGGTCATGTGCTGGACTACTTTTTTCCTGGGAGGAGTGACCTCTCTAAATCTCTATGGGCCTGTGCTAATGTAGCTTTATAGTAAAATATTGGTTTTAAAATATACTGACAAGCAATATTTACAATTGTGAAATTTCAAAATATATGTTCAACATACATTTGGGGGAAAAAAAAAGGTTCACTGCCATTCACATACACCAATGGCTGTCTGGCATCCCGCCATCAACTTCCCACACATCAGAGTCTGCAGGAAATTCTTTCAGCTTCTGAGAAATTCACTTTGTGACCTGCAGTTCTTTAACCTTGTCCAGTTATAGGCAGAAGGCAGCCATTCCCATGCCATGTCCAAGCAGCTCAGTGAAGTCCTCTGTCCCGGTTTATTTACATTCGCATCAGTCTAATTCCTGAAGCTGCTGTGGTACAAACTGTTCTCGTCTGGAATCAGCTGATTCACTGCATCAGTTTATGTTAACGACTTCTGGTGCGTTGCTGATAGAAATGTGAGTTGCAAAAGATTTTATAATTGGTTGGGAATGTTTTTGAACTGCTGTGGTTCATTACACACAAATCACAAATCAGTGCCCCGTTCATCATCGCAATGTCACGTTTTTGCACTGCAGCATTCCACAGACGGCACCATTAATCTTCCTGCCAGATTTATATCCAGATTGCTTTCTCAACTGCAGCTGTCAACAAGACAGAATCTTCAGATTTGTGCTAGTTGCCAGTCCCCCGAAGCTGTTGTGGTGCAAAGTGTGTGTGGCAGCATGGCTGCTGTGAGAAGCTCCTTGTGCCAGTCTTACCAACTGTTGTAAAAGTGTCCTCTCGGACAGTCTGAGCCTTTGTTGGAGGGCCTGCTAACCTCTGCAGCCAGGCAATTCATGGCCTAGCTGAAAGAAGTTTAGTAGACAAACCACAGAGCGCTAAGGAATTCCAGAAAACCCATAGAAAATTAGGGGATGGGAAGAGTGGGAGAAATGCACCAGACCTGCACCTCCTGTTTTCTAGCCTGCAATCCTTCAGTAGGACCCCACGATAGCAGCAGAAAAATACACCAACAGTTCCCTTTAATGAATCATGTTCACTAAAAAAAAGAAAGACCTTGGACAGAAAAATACTATTTTCACTTTGCAAACTTTGAATTCAAATCACAAAAGCATTCATTTCATTCATTCACACTGACACTGAGAGTCGTGGGAAAGGCCTTGAAGTTCAGGGTGCTTAGGCGGCACCAAGTTATCTTGTGATATTCTAACATAAATCTACAAAGTGTGTTAGTCTTGCAACTGCCAGACCCCACTGCAGATTTAACAGCCAAAACTGAAGTGGTCAGAGAAAAATATATCAGGAAACATCGGAGGGGAAAAACAACCCTTTTTGGCCCAACACCGGCTTACACACAGTATTTTAACACAGATACAAAAAGGGTGCACATGTCAGGCACAAAGCACGTGAGCAAATTCATATGAAAGTAAGGAAAGTCTTTCATCTACAAAGTTAGTCAGGTTCTGTTCAGCCATGTGCAAATACTTAATTATGTATTGTGACTGTTGCATCTTATCTAATATGTATATTTTACTCAGCACAGAAGCCAAAAGTACCCTTTTTCAACAAAGGTAGGACTGTGAAACTGCTGCTTGATTATAATGTTAAACTATGTGGTGGACGCTCACAATATGCCAAAGCGTTACTTTGGTGTATGCAGGGTAAAATAGTGCAGATGCAACTTGGTGCTCAGAGGTTTAGGTGATAAACTTCCTCCCGAGGGGCACTGATGTCCAATGTGTTCAAAAAGTCTGTGAGGACATTTAGTGAGTGATAGGCAATGTCTGATAGCTCATTTAGAAAAATGGGACTCCAGTCTATATAGGTGGTGACACTGGGATGTTGCAAACACAGAAAAATGTGATTAAGCTGTACATGTTTGAGGCAGACACTGTGTTGCAGTCACATTGCATCATACACAGTGTAGAAATTTATGAACTCCTGCTTCTCCTTCAAGTTTTTCAAATGAACAAAAAAAGGACTTGAAAAGGTTATCAGCAGCTATTAAGAGTTAAGATAAACAGTTTATGCTGGCACGCAGGACTTCATTCAGAACTTACACCAGGCTGTATGAGTCACTTACAACAGGTCAGCAAAAAGTTCAGCCTCTTCTCTTTTTTCGCAGTACAACAGTTAGCAGGATTAACATGGACAGGGTATAAATCAGCTCCTGCTTTTACACACAAACACACATTCTTGGTGTTTCTCTCTACCCTGCACATCTGTGGGGTGTGCCGAGTGTGAGTCAGCCAGTCATCCACTGCTCCCAGTTTGCTGAGCCTCCTCCCACTGGGAGCTAAAGATGGGGGAGAAATGAGGGACCGTGGTGGAAAAAGGGAAAGGGTGTGTCTGAGTGAGCCTGTGCAGAGGGAAAAAAATGGAAGACCTGAAAACAGTAGGACTACAGTAATGGATCGTCCATGCAAGATCCAGAGAGCAGATTGGCCACAGGATAATCAAATTTCCTCTAATCCTCCAAACCACGGTCAGTAAGCAGATTAGGTAATAAGCTAAGATCATTTTAATTTCTGTCTTTCTACTCTTGCGAACTGCCTGTGTGCAAATGTATTTTGCGAGATCGAGGCCAAGTTCTACAGAGAGGTGACAGAAAAGACTAGCCAGGGGAGTGTGGGATTGTGGGAAAAGAAAAGCGATTATGAGGAATAAGGAGTGGAGGTTAAAATGAGTGATAGGTAAAAAGTGAGAAAAGAGGAGTGTGGGAGAGCTGAGGCTAAGGGGGAGGCGCAAAGGGCAGTTTAAGTAAGAACAAAACTGGGAGGTAAGCCAAGATCCAAGCTCCATTTACTCTCCCCCACTTTCATTTTCCAGTCCTTATTGTGGGGGGAGTGGACTCGAGCTGGAAACCCAAGGCTCGCCTCCCAAACTGGAGAGCAGAATTGGCTGAACTTGTTTAGTGACTCATTTGTCTGGTTTCCATGGAAACAAACCAAAAGAACTTGGTGACCAGAAAGTTGGAAGCTGTACACCCAAAGGAGTAAGATGATTGCCGCCTATCCGCTGCTAAAAATACAGCGGTGAGTCTCTCTGGTGGGGATGAATCCAGCCTGAAGCAGCTCCTCCAGAGAAACGCTATATAGCTGAGTTCATCAAGTTTTTTTTCACTCAGTTCTTGTTATCTGAGGTTCCATTAACCTCGGCATTCCTTAAATGAGTAACCAACTCACATTCCAGAGGAAAGGGTAAATGATTGCGGGCCGTCGCTGTTCTGAGATTAAAGTTAGTATTGTTTCAAAGAGGATAAACTAAAATACATTTGGCTCTTGTATTGCCAGAGTGTATCTGGAGGAAAATGAGACAAGAGAACTTTGAATGAAGTCTGTGAAAACAGACATTTTTCCCTCAACAAAAATCAGTGATAAGCAAACAGCAAGTCACAAGTTAAAGGTGTAAATATACCATGTGAATTTTTAAGCAGCCCTCGGTGGTGAGCGGGAGCTATAAAAGGGTCTCACTGTGGCCACAGACCCAGCTCCACCCAAACTTTTCACTCCAACCTCGCTCACACACCCTCCCTGCCGCAACCTCCATGGTGGCCCGTAGTTTTATAGTATGAGTGACAGAACGTACCATTCTACATTTTCACCAGAGACATGAATAAACGCCTCACCGAGAAGTTACACAAACTATTGTATCCTGTTCCAACCACTCACTGGTTAGACACACATGAATATGACATTTCAGGGCCAAGAAATAAGACTTATCTCCTTGCGGTGGTTGATATGAGTAACTTTTTGTTCTGCCAAAACACACACACTAGCTAAGAGTTTGAGTTTTTCTTTCACCCTGCTGCACAGACCAGAAATGGCCTACTAAAGGTTCCAGTACGTTCCTGATAATCACCAACCACTAGTTACAATGTTATTGTTAGTATTCAATTATTAACAGAAAGGTAATAAAAAAAGCAGTAGAGTTCTCTGAGTGCTTTGTGGGGTTTTCTGTTTCTTTGTTTCTTTGTTTGATGTCATGTGAAAGGACAAATTACTTAATTTCTTTATTTCTTTCACTGTCTGAGCCCAGTGAAACCTGACGGCAAATAAACTGTATTTCCACCATGGGAAAAGGAAGTAGCTCAAATCGGCTTGAGGCCACTGTTGTTGTGATTTGGCGCTGTATAAATAAAACGGAATTGAATTTGATACCAAACCATGACTTATTTTATATGTATGCATATCTCCTAGTAGCTTTCCATCTTTTTGCTAGCAAATGTCATGGCACTGCTGTGTGGCAAGCTGGAAGCAGGGCTCACAAGATTGGACTCAAAAAACAGAAAGATTTAACAAAATATAATGAAAGAGCAGAACAGGTGCGAATTGGCTAGAAGCTACACGTGGCCAGATAGCCAGCAGCACACACAACATG